ATATTTAGTTTTAGCAAAGTAATAGATATATTTGATTTTTATTGCGTTTATTGACAGTCAACAACCGCTCATGCTCACTCGAGATCCTAAATCCCCCACTGGTAACATGCACTTGATGAGGGGATACGACATATACTGATTCACATAGATTATATTCAATTGAAAGCTTGGATGGGGTCTATTTCACCAAACCTATTTCATCAAACGTTCATCTCTCGTCTCTTGCACTCACTCTATTTTTTATCTTACCGTTAACTTAACAGTTGGAGTGCAAACGGTTGTTGGACTTTTTCTTTTCTTGACTGAGATTTGCATTCTAACGGCTGTTCAAGTGCACATGTGATGTCTACATGGAGAGGAGGTGGCCAAGATTCAGTTGACCATGTGTCCATTGAATTTTGAGGTTAAGACTTATAATTAGTGGGAAAGCACATCTTTGGCATTTTGGTTGATACCATGCACATTGTTATTGGTGGATGGCAAGACAGCTAAAGCTTGTTGCTATTACAATAATACGATCCTCGTCATATGTGTCTCAATCTTACAAGATAATCTCAATTTCACCATCAAAGCCTAAATCAATTATGTGTGAACGTCAAATAGATCGTATCATACCTCAAGATTGCATTGAGGCCATTTTTGAATTGGTGATTTCGTACTGATTGGATTATTTATGAATCCATATTGAGATTCAGTCATTCAGATTTGATGAGATTTCATATTAAATTATAATCAATTTGACATGACTTTTGAAAAGTTAAAAGTTGCTTTTGGATTGTTCAGTAAATTTTATAAAAGTCGTTATTCTAATTAGAAGAGCTTTGAAAGGAAGTCGACATAATTAAGATAGTTTTCTTATGAAACTTTTCTATAAGAAGTAAAAGTAAAAACAGAACAATGTTAAACAGACCATTAGATATAAATGAAAACGACAAAAAGAGAAATTCGTATATATCGATTGATCATTTTGAAAATAATAATAATAATAATAATAAAAGAAAAGTAAAATAAATCCGAATTTAATTATGTGTAATTACTAATTATATTCACATTAAAAATTATATTTTTTACACTAAATTTTAATTACATTTACATGACAATTTTCATGTTATTACTAATAATCAAACTTTTCATTAGTTAACGCATTTTGTATTTGATAATAGTTTTATATCCATCAATTACTCCTCAATTTAATCTTAACGGATTCAATAATCAATTTACATTACCAAGACTACTGATTTATTATTTCTTAAGTTGTTGCTATGAACTGTCTCCATAACATTAAAAAA